TCACACCGTACATTTTAACACCTAGTCATTTCACTACTAAACAATTTAAATCCACAACAATTTAACTCCTTTTTTCCAGTTTAACACCCTACATTTAACACACGAAATATTCGATAATTAATTAATGTAATGAGATTGAAAGTCATCTGCAAATAAGGCTACTGTCGATTGAAAACTGATTGTTTGAACTGATCGTCCCGCGCTCATTATTGTTTCGAGTTTCGAAGAAAATGACCGAGTGTTTGTGCTCGTGTCGGTTTTATATATTTGTTATATATTTTCGACCTAATAAATAATCATTTGAGAAATTTCTTAAGCCATAAATAAGATATTGTTATATTCAATTTAACTTTTAAAAGATTGAAATGATTTTTTTGTGAAGATACAGGGGAATTTTTGAATCCAATTTAGCCAATTGGAAAAATTTTACATGGGCTAGATATCTATTTATGTGCAGCTAGTGAAGGCGCAGAAATAATCTAGCTCATAAATTATTCCAAGTTGAAACAAGACTGCTCGTATCAAGGCGAGGCCCTGATTGTTCCGACTGCCTTTTAAGGTCTATGAAACAGTAATACCATGAAAAAATGAAGTGTAAAAAAAGAGAAAATAAAATGAAAAAAATTTTGTAAAAAAATTGAGATTTTTTGTGAAAATCATCCCCCCACACGCCATATAAAGTACAAAATGATGCTTTTCGCTTCTGGTAACAAATCAATTATGGCAAATAAGCTTCCTTCAACCAATTTGGAACGATTTCTAAGACGGATTAAATCTACGCTTTCGCGTTAATAGTGCGAAATATATCGCGGGTTAATTTTCCCAAATTGGCCAAAATGACAATCTTTAAATCCCCATAACTTTACGAAAATTAATCACAGGTGAAATATCGTTTCGAATTTAAGCTCAGGACAATAATACTTTTTGAATGATAAAAAAAACTCCGTCAAAAATGGCTAGTTAAAAGTCGAAATTTGTCTGAAGAAAAAAAAACCCACCCCGAGCACAAATATTCCGTTACTTTCGTATCGAAAGCCGGAACAATGAGTTTTTTCATCTACAGCATATACTTTGATACTAGGTAACGAAAAAACTCACTGGATCTTTGTTGTTTATTGGGGAACATCTTTGTTGAAAACGAAAAACGGTTGAGTTTTGAAACTAATGAATAATTTTAATCCAAAGATAGTTTGTTTTGTTTAAAACCCGGCAGAGCAATCAGGTTTTGCCTGATTATAGGCAGTGATTTTTTAAAAATTAAAAAAATGTATTTACACAAAAAATAGATAAACGGGCAAATGAATTATAACAACTTAGCAACTTTTTGATATCTGTTTTTTTTTAAATATGTAAGTTTGAAATATTCGACCGGTGAATATAATGTTGCGAGTTGCGAGTACGATTTTGGTACTGAAACTCAACGGCCTCTTTCTCTTTATATTTCTCTGCCCCCTCCCCCCCTAAATCTGCTACTGATTCACTTTGTAAAGCGTACTGGCGGAAAATTGGAAAAAAAAATTCTACTTTTTTAAGAGATTTTATCAATTTAAAAAAAGTTCTAATGATTTTATCAAAACGTATTCCATATACTTGAATGGGATACTTGAATGGCATATGCTCCATATACACTTGAAACATTCAGGGCTTCGCCTTTATTCAAGGGGTCGTGTTTGGTTTACTGATCTCTCCAAGCAACCAAGTCAACAATGAATTCGCGGAAGTTGAGCCGGCCGAAAGAGGAAGCGAGAGCTTCCATGTGTCGAATTAAATGTGATCTGACTAGAGCGTTCCAAGAGCAGTAAAAAGCGTCCGCTTGTATCCGTTTTTTGTCATTAATTTATTTTAAAGGCTATAAAATTTGGTGGCAGTATACTTTTCTGGCTCAGTGAGCGCACAGAATCCCATATAATAATAAAGCACGCACATGGTAGCACGAACAAATGATGCGCTTTCTTGAACACCAAAGAAAAATGGCAGGTTGATTGATATCTAAAAAGGGATTGTGTCTAATTAGAATACAATAAAGACAATCTGATCACCTTTTCCTGCTTTCATAACAATATTTTGAAGCTCGATGATTTAATAGACTCAAAGAAATTGTATTTTTACTTTTTGACCAGTTTAAGAAGACGTTCCGACTGAAAAAGAGAATGATTATGGGTTGGATTTAAGAGGTTATGAAATGAACGCAAGTTATTGCGGTTCACCGGGCTCTGATTTTTTAAATTGATGCGCTTAGGAAGCTTTGCTCATGTGAAAACGAGCGCCTTCCGCAAAAGGAGGCCTGAACATAATATCTTCTCACATATGAGTGAAGCATAAACGCACGACTGAGTTTCATAGGTAGGTAATAATCGAATATTTTGGATAATCTATTACAATTATTAAACGTTTTGAAAAAAACAGTCAAACTGTTTTTCAAATCAATAAGGTACATATTAACCAATTATAATCGATCATATTGAATAATAACCTTTTTTTTTGTGAACGAAACCGCAACTTTCAAACAAAGTTCAGAATAATAAAAGCCTAGTGGCCATTTTTGCTTCAAATTGATTTGCATTAACTAAAGTGAGGTTTACTTTTGCTTAAAAATTTGTTATTTTATTCTTTATAGTTCCTACTTTTGAAAAAATTGACGAAACAATTGGGCTCTGGGTGGTTTTTTTTTCTCCAGACAAATTTCGATTTAATTAGCAATTTTTGAAAAGTTTTTTTATATCATTCGACAGCTTTTATATTTTTTGTAAAGTTATGGGGATTTAAAGGTTGTGATTTTGGGCAATTTGGGACAATTAACGCGCGATATAGTCCGCGCTATTAACGCTTAAGCGGAGATTTAATCCGTCTTAGAAATCGTTCCAAATTGGTTGAAGGAAGCTTATTTGCCATAATTGATTTTTGATTCGAAGCGAAAATCATCACTTTGTACTTTATATGGCGTGTGTGGGGGGGGGGGGGGGATGATTTTCACAAAAATCTCAATTTTTTTACGTTCAATTTTTCAAGTTATTACTCCTCCATAGACCTTAAAAAGCAGTCGGAACATTCAGGGCTTTGCCTTGATTCGCGCAGTCTTGTTAAAATAAATTGACGGGCATTAAAAAATTGATGGAAGCTTTTTTTGCCATAATTGATTTTTCAGATATTCAACAATCCGCCATATCTACAAACCGCCATATATTAAAGCCAAAATTACATAAAAATAACGTAAATTACATAAGGATTACGTAAAAATTGCATAACATCAGTGAAAATCTGTTGTTAAGTTGCGTAACAATATAAATTTTTGGCTTTTGGACTGGTAATTGTGTTTTCGGCTTGTTGACTCTTCGGCTTGATGGCTTACTATCGATCATCATTTTGTAATGGTGTGAAATCTATTTTTTTGTACTGTATATGGCGTGTGGGGGATGATTTTCACAAAAAATCTCAGTTTTTTTACGTTCAATTTTTCAAGTTATTACTCCTCCATAGACCTTAAAAAGCAGTCGGAACATTCAGGGCTTTGCCTTGATTCGAGCAGTCTTGTTAAAATAAATTGACGGACATTAAAAAATTAAAGTCAGAAACGAATCTGAGATGTAATTTCCGTCAATTTATTTTAACAAGACTGCTCGAATCAGGGCAAAGCCCTGAATATTCCGACTGCTTTTTAAGGTCTATGGGGGAGCAATAACATGAAAAATAGAACGTAAAAAAACTGAGATTTTTTGTGAAAAGCATCCCCCACACGCCATATACAGTACAAAAAGATAGGTTTACGAAAATTTTACGAAAAATAATCACAAGCAAAATATATGTTTAAATTTGAGCTCAGGACCTTTCGAATGATATTTTTAGAAATCCGTCAAAAATGGCTAGTCAAAAAGTCGAAATTTGTCTGATAAAAAAAACCCACCCGAGCACGAATATTCCGTTATTTTTGTTAAAAAACTCGAAACTTTTTCTGTCGAATCTTTTCAAATGTTGAACTTCATTGATACTTTAAAAGATTAAAGTCAGAACGAATCTGAGATGTAAAGTATCAATGAAATTCAACATTTGAAAAGATTCGACAGAAAAAGTTTCGACTTTTGTAACAAAAATAACGGAATATTCGTGCTCGGGTGGGTTTTTTATCAGACAAATTTTGACTTTTTAACTATCCTTTTGACGGATTTTTAAAAATATCATTCGAAAGGTCCTGAGCTCAAATTTGAACATATATTTTGCTTGTGATTATTTTTCGTAAAATTATATGAGTTTAAAGATGGCTAATTTGGCCAATTTGGAACAATTAACGCGCGATGTGTTTCTGCTGTTAAAACTCGGTATACTAGTATTTTGAGTACGCTGTGAGTAATACTGAAATTGGTACAAGATTGCAAATAAAACTGTTTCACGTTCCTTCCATCTCAAATACTGCGCCTTTCTAGATGAGTTTTGTCTCGTAGTGCCATCAGCGGTTATTTAATCCCTTTCAAAAATAATTCCAAATTGAATTGAAGGAAACTATTTGGTGTAACTGATACACCAATAGGTGCGAAACACTTCTTTTGAACTTGGCATTGCGTGCTGGTAGAAACTTAAAAAAAGACAACTAAAAAAATATATACTAGCTTTAACTTCATGAACCTTCAACGGCAGTCGGAACACTCAGGGATTCGTCCTTGTATGAGAACTGATTTGTTTTTGTTTTGCTCACGTTATAATTCGGTCAAATGATCTCTTCGGCATTCCCTGACACAAGACCGAAATTATTCTGCTAAAAAATGCAGTGGTGCAGACGCACTTAGTAGAAATATTAGCTGGGTTGGCCGAAAAAGAATGCAAAGTTTTGGGTTGACAATAAGCTAGGTTTTTTTATCGTATTATTTTTTTCATTATCTTTCGCTTTATTGCAAAAACTTTAAAATAAAATTTGTAAGATGCCTGGTTCGAAAATAATAGCATAGCATTCTCCTGCTGCCCGTTTCTGCTAATATTTTGAATAAACAATGAAAAACAAATATGTTTAGGCGCCCAGTGCAATCAAAGGCGTAGCAGACTCCAAGATCATATCTCTGTTGGTAACTCCTTTATTCGACCGGTAAGTAAACATGTTTGTTTACCTTTCCCGCAGCCTATTTTGACAAAGAGCAGAAAATGAAGTCTAATTGTCTTTGTTTTGCTTTAGAGCAACATTTTATGTGGATGGAAAAAGAAAAGATGCAGCGCCTTTCACGGTAAAAAAAATAGTTCATGCTTCTTGCCATTATAACCTCCAATCTAGTAACGAAAAACTATAGTCAACCCCAGCTATAGTTTGTACTATGGGGGGGGGGGGTACAAATTGCGGGCGATTAAAACTTAAAGTGGTTCAGAATAAACCATTCGCTGCGAATTAAATTAACGGAAATGTTCTTAAAAACAAGAAAAGTTGAACTGAATTCAGTTGAAAACTACAGAAAAGAGAATTAATAATAGCTAAGACAAGGTTAAAAATGATTTAAGTTGAATTTGGAGGTTTGTTTTTCATCAACTTTAGTCTGGAAACCGAAATTTTTGAACCAATTTTTCTCGACACAGATGGTTTAAGCGATTTTTGTGGGAATCTGAATCACCCTCAATAGGGCTTTAGTATCATAACCCCTACGAGTTTTCTTTGATGAACTGAAATTTTAGAAAAAATCATACCTAGCACACAGTTATTTCCTGTCACAAGTGACGTGGTCGGAACAAAAGTGTCACAAATGCCCAGTTAAATAGCTAATCTTGAAACCCGGAGTGCTAAATTCCCGTTTGAGTCGCTGAATAAGTTAGCATCTAGGAATTAATTTATATCCATGCTATTTAAAAAGAAATCTCCGCTATTTATAAAGAAAATTTATATCCTACAGCTAAGACTTTTGTTCTAAACGCAAACGATCTGCAGTCAAAAAAAAATAACGAAAATTGGCAAAAAAACTTGAGAGGCGTTCTTTTTTCTCACTTTTCAAGGTTTGATGCAGTTTAATTAAATTACGATGTTTTTTTTTGCGGATCTGTGTCGTCTTCTTTTGATTTCAGCACCAAAAAGGCTGTTGGTTTTGACGCAAAATTTACTCCGTAATTCAGAAATTGAAAGCGGGATTCCTAGTGCGCGCCGAGTTAATTAGGTTTCATTGCAAATAAAATCCCCAGCACCCAATGAATTACAAAAAAAAAACAAAAATGTCAGAGAAACCAAAAGAAAATAAAAAATATTAACGCAAATATTGAATTTGAAAGAGAGGGAAAAAGTATTTTTATACCAATATGTATGTTCAATTTATTTGACTCCGTCCCGGATAACAATTTGAGATACGGATCTTAGAGGTCAACTTTGAATTAGATTTAACCAAGCTATTATTGCGATTTCTAAAGAAAACCATATGCAAGCCTTCCCCCTTTTTCAAATGAGGGATGGGGTTTTAATGAAAAACGATACTGGCTTTTATTGAGGGGATAGTGACTTCTAATCAAAATTCGTTGACTTTATCTCTCGTTTTTTTCTTCATTTTTTTCATTCCCAATTTTTTATTTTTTTATTTTCTTGCCGCGCAAATTAAATCTCATGCCCTTATGTAGATATTAGATGTTTTTATTGTATTGTCAACAAATAAAAAATAGTGGAATCGAGCTGCTAAAATCAGCCATTATTGTCGTAACATGAATTGATACTTTTGAGTTCGTTCATTTCTGATAGAAGGGCGGAAAGGGATTCATATTCTTATTGTCGAAATTGCAATTTGATCTTCTGCTGTAAGAAAACACAAAAAAATTAACATTTTTTAAATGGTACATTTGTTCGAGTATTCAATTCTGCCTAGCAAGACTCAATGAAAATTTCATGTATTTAAATTTTGCCCGGGGTAAGTTAATCGTTGTCCCAATTTAGAAACAAATTGTGTTTCAAAAGACATATTAGCACCAATTCAACTTTGAAAACGGGGGAAAATGTGCTCTTTTTTGCTAATGGCTTCACTAAACTTCATCAATCTCGCCAACTGAATGAGACAAATCCATGCAGAAAATGGAATGATAATTCTTTATTTAAACCCAAAAAAAGGTCAATTATTTTTTGATTTCACATTTTCAAACTTCATAATAACTTAGACTGAAAAATCAATTCATGTCTGCCTCAAATCTCATCGAAACCATTACAAACTTCCATTATTTTTTAATCTTTTAAGTCTAGAAATTGACTACCAATTGGAAAACACTCGGTTGCTTATGTTTTGTAAGAGGATTTAGTGAAAGTCAATTTGGAATAAAATAGCCAATTTGAAAAGGACACGCCCTGGTCTGGACAAATAAAATTGGTTTTGGGGGCATAAGAGATTGAAGGTTTTAGTTGATTGAAGTGAGGTGATCGGGGGAGGGGGTTGCGGGGAAGAGGGGAGGTCGGGGGGGGGGGGGGCTGTTAAAGTGTGTTAAAGTTGGAGTTGCGTTTGATTTGGATCAATTATATTGTAATTTGTCAAAACGGATCAGCAGCTGATTACCCGTGGTGTTTTAAAACTAGCACCACAGTCATAAATTGTATCCATCAATTCCTCTTTTTTGTTCTACTTTCCCCCTTCACATTTTGTTCACGCGTGCTAGTTAATTTAGATCTTCAATTTAAACCGGCGCTCGACTCGATTTAGAGTCTACGGTCAAATTGATTGGCACACAATCACAATTAAGCTCGACTGCTGAAAATTTCCTTCCCGCAGTCTGTTCTGTTCATAAAAATCAAAAAGCGATGGCATATGGAAAAACATTATACCACCTTATCTTCATATTCGTGAATAAAAACCCATATAAGTCTGAACGGATTTCTTAATTCTTAATAAGATTAATTTGCAATTCGACACTACTTTAATTTCGCACCAGTTGAACTGGACTTCTTCAAGCAAGAAAAAACCCTTATTTCTAATTGGTCTGAAAAATGGACAATTTTATCTTAGATGCTTTCAGTACAAAGTGTTAATTTCTTAAAGCAATCTTATTTAGGGGAGGAGGATCTTGTATTTTTGATTCAGATTTTCAAAAAATGGGGGAAAAATGTGATTATTTTTAGCTCGACTAAATTGATTTTGAATTCTCCGAAACACTAGAAAGATCCTTCCCTAATTTGCAAAATGTTTTTGCTCTGCATGCAAGAAAGTATTTTAGCCTGACCCTACCCCGACCCACAAAAATAAACATATATACTTGCAAAAATTGATGGCATAAAATAGTAGCAAATGAGGTACCATTTGAGAGGTGAAGAAGTTGAATTTACAGACAAAGTGTCATTTTATTTCTTCTTCTATTTAACTGCCATCATTTCCCAGCGATTTTTAGCTGATTCTTATAGCTCATCGACCAAAGCAGCTAAATTTTACTAATTAAAAAAACCCAATAAACTTCACAAAATGAGGTCAGCCGGCTGCTGCGCAAATAGCAAAGAAAATTCGAATCACAATAAAAAAAACAGTATTTTTTTCCAAGGGCGGATCTAGCATTTTCTCGAGGGGGGGAGGCGGATTTTCAAAAAAATTTCGAAAATTTTCGAAAAAATTTGTCGACCTTTTTTTTAGGTCGACCGAATTGATTTTTCGAGCTCTCCCTAAGCACATTTTAAACCCTGTTTTGGCCAAACTTTCTGCACCGCAGGCAAAATTTTAAAAAAAGGCCAAAAAGGCGTTTTAGGCACTTTTTGGAAAATTTTGACCAAAAAATTGCGTTTTTCGGCGCGCGCTCCCCCCTCAAAATTAGTATGTATTGGCGCCAAAGGCGCCTTTCGAAAAATTTTAGGATCGGTCGGCCAAAAACGAAAAAAAACGGATTTCTTAAAAAGTACCAAAGGACCCTTTGGGTTGGCAGGGGGTCGAATCCCTGAGGAGGAGGGCGTCTGCCCTGCCCCCTAAATCCGCCCCTGAATTTTTCTAAAATTGTGTAGATTTTTGTTTGTGGTGTGATGAGTGTATCTCAACGAAAGTCTAGAATTTCGATATTACTTGTAAATAAAACACGTTCGACAACAAACTTTCTTATAGAATAAATATCATTTTAAAATTGAAAAAACTCAGAATTTTTGGATCTTTTCAAAATATTTAGCCCCCAAAAAACGCAAAATTTTTGTATCTTTCAAAAATTTTTGTTTCAAAAAAATCTTTATCTAAGTATCTAATTTTACAGGAGTATAACTAAATTTTCATAGCTCAATTTTTTAAAGACGATCATAAGCTTATTATAAAAATCTTTTAATTTTGCCTTAGCCGCTCCAAATTGAACTGAATATTGAATGTTTCAAAATGATTTTTCTCAACACTGAGAAAACCTTTTTGAAAATTTTAACTGTTTCAATCACGACTGAAAGGGCTTTAAAATGATATATCAATCAATTTTTTCCGATGATTAATTATGGTGCCTGATTTTGTGTGAAAAAAAAAAAACACTCGAAAAAAAGTTCCTACTCATTTTCAATGATCGGAACAACAAACTGTATTTTAAAAAAGTGAATCGAACAACATTTAAAAATTTCTGGAAATTGTTACAACATTGAGAAAAACAGGTCCAAAACTTTTGGTTCTTGGTTTAATTGCGAGCGAACAGGCTTACAATAGCCTAATTTTATGCTTAACTTAAGCCGGGATAAGTTATTGGGAAGCAAAAACTTCGAAAGCTCAAAAAAATTTTGCAAAAAAAACTAAAAAAGTTTTTGACTTTTTTATTGTTTCAGGTTTTTTTTTGTTTTTCTAGTCAATTTTCTGCAAAAATTGTTTTCCGTTTTGCCTATTTTACTATGGCTGTTGAATGTGCCGAATTTTTTGTATTTATTTTTAAGACTATAGGCCAGAAGATTCTGTGCTTTTTGCACAGTAATCGGCCGTCCTTGTATTTATATTTGGCTTTGGTTTCAAAAGTTCACGTGGTCGGAAGATTCTGTGTTACTTGCACAGCAGCCGGATATCCTTCTTCACGTCAAGTTTCATGTTTCCTATTTGTTTATGTTGAATCAGAATAAAGTTTTTTGTTCTCATGGGTAATTTTATTCTTGTTTCAGGATGAGCCCCCTTGCTTTTTTCAAGGACACGAAATCGGCAATCCTTCCCATTCCTTCCTATCATTATCCACTTGCAACAAGAACTCAACATGGTAAATATATTTAATAAAGGGGGGAGGCCGAAAAAATATATTTGTATGAAATTTTCAAATACTCTATGCTAATTTGGCACAAAGTATGTAGCAGTCTAAAAAGGGTGACATCGGATAACTTCCGACTTAACTTTTGCTTGTACCATTTTGATACCGTGATTGATCCAACTTTTTTTTGGTTTATATTTTTTGAAAAACCACTTTTTTAAACTCATGACAAGGCAATTTTCGTGGCAGACGTCTCAAATGGCAGAAAATTGTTTACCAGATTTTATTGTCAACATCTGCTTTAATTTGAAATTGATCAATAGCAAATTTTGACGCACTAATATAATTTTACGTCAGTCGTTTCTTTTACCGCGAGGGTCCCCCCGTAACTGACTGTTTGTTTCAGGGGTCATTTGAAACTGAACGAGACAGAGTATTTCCTGGAACCCAACTCGGCACATCCGACCGCACAACCGGTAACTTCAGCTCCGATTAGAAATAAACGGCTTCAATGAATTAGAATCAGTACCTCGGTGTAGGAAGATTGAAAATTTTTGTTCAAATTGATCAAGAAACTCTGTGAAATTTGTAAGCAAATTGCAACTCGAAGAAAATCTCACAGTTGCATCCCAACGCATGGCTGCGGTTTAAGATGCATTTCGAACAACATTGAATCGAAGGTTCCTTCCGACTTTAGAAGAAAGTGACAGAATATTTATGCTTGGGGTAGTTTTTTATTCAGTCAATTTTCGGAGATCGATTATAAAGTTTTTGAAATTTTTTTTATACCCCATTGAAAATATTGACTCCCTCAAATCAATTATCAAAGAAAGTTTGAAATTTGTCAATTTGGCCATGCTTTGAACTAATTCATACGCGTTTTGAAGATTTCATTCATAACCTTGAAAAGGTAACCCGAAATATTTCAGCGTGGCGAATTATCCCGCGCAACAAAATCGTTCCAAAATGAATTGAGGCTAGCTAATCGGTCGGATTAATTGCGTACGACTGAAATTTTTACACTTGATCTTTGATTTTGTCCAAAATTTACAGTTTTTCACGATTTACTTTTCCCAAACATTATTCAATATAAATTATGGGACAGTCGGAACATTCAGGGCTTTGCCCTGATGTACGAGCTGTCTTGTTGTAGCCTTCAGAATAGTTGTTACAAATTTGTTCCGATTTTCGTGCTTAGTGTGATTTTTTTCTTCAGACAAGTTTCGGTTTCCTAACTAGCATATTTTTAATGGAGTTTAATTTATACCATTCAATTGAAAAGTATTGATGCACTGAGAACAAGTTTTAAAAAACAATATATCTCTTTTCGTTTCTTGTAAAGTTTTTGCGGTTAGAAAATTGCCAAAGTTGCTAATTTAGGATATTTAAATACCTCTCAAAAACCGTCTGTATGATTCCTCAGAGCCATACCTGTAATGCGGAAAAAAACAAGACTGAGTTAGTTGAATCCATTCGAGGATTTTAGGTGCGTGGGGAGGCTCTTTTGTTTCTATTTTTTCTCATCATCTTTTCTGCAAACCGTCCCTAAAATTTTCCTAAAGACCCCTTTGTCGCCAATATAGACTCTTTTTAAGGGGAGCGCGCGCTGAACTCGCATTTTTTTAATGAAAAACCTCCAAAAATGCATTTTTGGCGTTTTTTTGTAAAATCTGGCAAAACTTGTCCTACTGAAAAATTATTGACGTGATTCTTGAAATTTCAACATAAAGTATAGGCGAAGAGTGTCCAACGATTAGCTAAGGATTTAAACTTTTAAAAAACGTTCAATATGAAACAGGCGCGGATCCAGGATTTTCTCAAGGGGGCGGGCGGATTCTCAAAAGATCTTTCGGCTCGGGCTCCTGTGGATGTCATAAAATAATACCAAAGGGGGAGGGGACATTTGGTTGGTGGGGAGGGGAGGGGTGGTTAAATTCCTGAAGGGGTCAAGTCACTCTAAATCCGCCCATGTTAGCAAACCAAGTTATTTTTTTTGCTTATAGGAAAACTGGAAAAAGTTGGTCTTCACGCGGCCGAAATCTACCTCAATAAAGGGTAATTAAAATTGATGTGCCTCCATGAAAAGATTTCACGTCGTTCTAATTTAAGTGAATTCTTTTTCTTCAGGCATCAGTCGAACTAGAAGGCAGGCCAGTTCGTGGCTGGATGTACCGAGCGTCAAACCCCTCAAAGTGAGTTCACAATTGATATCTTAAAACAAACTCAAAACAGATTTCTTCATTTTCTATGCGTATTTTTTATTCTAAGATTTGCAGATTTGTAGCAGCCAAAGAGCGAGCATGTTATATAAAGCAGCAAGATTTATTAAACAGTTTATGATATCATTTTAGCAAATTCTAGCTATCAAATCAGGTGATCATTTTTTGGAAGCAATTGCGGTTTATTATTGGTGCGAGTTCAGAAGATTCAAGTATGGTAACTCAGCTCCTGAAATATGGATATGATTACCTCGTGAAAAATGTATGGTCGATTGTAGCAGTTTTGTTGAATTAGTTTAATTGACCATTTTTTAATCTCAGGTTGTTGTGGATCCGTACATTGCAAAATACAACCAGGTAAACAAGCAAACCAGTCAATCAGTGACTAACTTCTGATTATAACTATAAGTTATAATATTGGCTGTGAATTTTAAGAACTCTGGTCACAAACCCCGGAGCTAACTGAAATTGTTTCCGACTTAAGAATAAGAACAACTTCAAGAAGCAACTTTCGTAAACAGTACCATTACCAAAATTAAAGATGGACGGTACACTAACAATTTTTACCGCAACAAAAATGAAAGTTTTCAGCCAAAATTTTCTAAAAAAGTTTAAAATTATGATCTTGAATCGAACCATTTTAACCAAATTTTATGTGACTATCGCGCGTAATTTTTTGACAATCTGGGGATCTTGAAAGACGTCGCTTTGTTCGACATGAAAAAAGGTCGAATTGATTTTCGATTTTTGTAGAAAAATCAGTTTCTCCAAAGGCCTAGATCCATTTCTGAATCTAATTATACGTATAAGACTATCCTTCGAAAACGGTGGTGGTGATAAAATTTTTGCGAGAGGGATGGGGGGCGGGGGGCAGATTTGTGATGTTCAAAAACGGGTCGTCTTTTTTTGAAAAAGTAAAAGTAGATGTGCTTTTTCTAACTGCTCGTTTTTAATGCTAGGTTTTTTGACCAGAGTTCAAATAAATTCGCCTTATAATGAAATTCCTTTTCCTAATTCGCTGCATATATTGTATTTCGTTTCTCTTGAGCCAAATAGCTTCTTCGTAAGGTTGCAATTTTAGTCAAAATTAAAATTATTGCTTTATTGAGTTGCAAAAAAAGTTACTTGAAAGATTAATGTTGATTATAAAACAGCATTTAGTTCGTTATAGAATACCTGGTACAGATTGCACAGCAAATTTTCCAGAAAGTGACCCCCTTTCAGTTTTTAATCTTTTTAGTTTTGAATTTTAACTAAAAGTCAATTGTTCCGATATGCACTAACTGGTAAATTTTAAAAACATACCCCTGATTTTAGTTTTGAAGTCGCTTTTCCTATTCCAATGTTTATTCATTGCGCGCAATGACATGAAAAAATTGCTCAATGACATTAAAAAAATAGTTTTAATTCTGTTTAACTAACGTCCAAAATGTTTGCAAACAAGTATTGTCTTTGACAAAATTTTTGAAGTTTTAAAGAGGTTCTATGCCTCAATTCTGAAAGGTCAGATTAATTATGAAGTAAATCAGTCTTTCTAAGTTGTTCGTTTTGTGATGGACACGACGACTGTTAAGCATAATATTGCCAACCCCCCTACTGTTTTGCTTTTGTTTGGTCAATGGGATTTATACCTCTCAAAATCAATTATAAAGGCAAGCTTAAATTGATTGACCTTTTTTGTTTGCTAGATTTTCTACAGTATTTGAGGATTAAGTCGGAACATTTTTTGACTGGCCGGTAAAACATAGTTAAGAAACAGTGGCACCATTATAAAAACAATTGTGTGGCAAATAAGCTAAATTTTACATGAAAAGACATTATCTTGTAAGAATGAGAAGGGAGGGGCAATATGTTATAATGCGATGAGATTACAAAATTAAATTTGGATGAAGAGGAGGTAAAAACAAAACAAGAAACCTTTACTTTTTTTTTCATTGGTTTTTTCGTTTTCTAATTATTACAAATTTGATTTTCTATACAAAAACAAGATTAAGCATCAATAACAAAACTCAGTGAAATAATTACCATAGCAAAAAAAAGTTGTAGGGAGAAAATTTAAAAGCGTATCTTAGTTGAAATTTTAAAACCAAGAAAACTTTATTAGGTTTTGTTTAACCGTGGTGTTAATTGTTAGTTGAAGTAGGTCCGAGATCTACAGAGGTTCGAACCAACTTAAGCTAGATATGCTATTTTTTTTTTTACAAATATCCGATAATCAAATAAAAGTGGATGTTTTTATAGCACGAAAAAACGTTTGGGACCAAAATAGAAAACCAACCAAATTGTTTCGGTAACTTTATGGGCGTTTAAAACTCCTTGAACTGCATGAAATGATATGGGCTCATTGTTCCAACACCGAGCGTACTTGCAAAGATTATTGTAGTCAAATTTTCTTGGCGAAAGTAGTGAAATAAATACGCTTGTGGTGTTTTTTTTATTCGAATTAAAACAAGAGTTTTCAACAAAAAACTAAACCTCAATTAAGATATCGCCTCTTTCAGTTCAAATGCAATAAAACAAGTGATGTGCAATCAATTTTTGTAGAATTATGGGGGTTTGATAATGAATCATCTGGACTAAATTATGCAAACTGAAATTTTAACGCAAACAATTTAAGCACGGCGAAGTTGCCCTCACTCAGAAAAAATTCAAATTCAAATTGGGTAAACTAATATTAGTTTATCTTAGTTCTATGTAAGTCTCAATTTTTAACACTTTAGTTTTTTATTTATATTTTGCCAAAAATTGTAATTTTTATTTACAATTTTTCACCAAAACCATTCGAACACAGGGTAATTGAAACATTCAGGATTTTGGCTTGATATACTACCAGCGTTGTTTATAGTTCTAATTTGGATCACAAATTAAATATGTTTTTTTCAAATATACCTTCGTTTTGTTTTTTGTATAAAGATGAACTTGATGATGCTATATAACAATGGTCAAAATAACTGGACTATGAACAATTTTATTCTAAATTTCAGTTTCTAGCCAATCAGCGTTGCAAATTATCCCTGCGATAATCATCTTTTCTAGTCATTTGACAATATTTGTTTTCTGAAAACTTTTGCTTACTGTTGAACATCTTCCATTGCAATGTCAACAAGATTGCTTTTATCAGAGCAAAAAACCCCAAATGCTTCCTACAGCCTGTTAGGGTCAGTGGAATACTTTTAAGAGTTTAAAACTAAATTACCAGAAAAATTTAAAATTGATACCTGAAATCCGCTTCGTACTAAGTAAAACCCATAGTGATGTAAATAGTATAGCAACTCAAATTTAAGTACAACTAGCTTGCCTCAAGTCAATTTGGAACTATTCATGAGTCAAATGTTATCGCCGCTGAGGCATTAATAGCACAAATTTTATAGCAGGTTAATATTGTATCAAACTAGTCAAATTGGCAGCGTTTACACGCCCAAAAATTCTAAATAAGACTGCTCGTAGATCAAGCCACAGCCTTGAATGATCCGACTGCCCATTAACTGGTCTAGACTTAGTTAGTTTTTGTTGAAGGCCGGGTTGACAAAAAATGTTTATCATACTATTTCATATTATGAAAAAAATGCTTATCATACTATTTCATACTATTTCATAGACCGAAAAAATACTATGAAAATAGCATGCTAAGCATTTTTTACCAAAATTAAAATCATGTTTTTGATAGTTAAAATGCATTCTTTCAAAAAAAAAATTTTAAACTTGTGTAAATTCATCCAGAAACATCGTTAAATTCATTTTGAAGATTTCGTCTTTTCGATAGCAAAATGCTTTGACCAAAATTAAAATCATGTTCTCATTGAGCAGAAAGATTCAAAAGATGGAAGTAGAACAGAAGTATGTCTCTAAAAACGTTTAATACAGTTTTTAATTTTTCTATGAAAATTGTATGATAAGCATTTTTTCCATAGTCGCCATTTATGAAATTGTATGATAATCATTTTTCTTTTATGGACGTCAACCCGGGACTTTGCTAAAATCAAATATGATGAGCTAAAATTTGAGTAGAAATAATTTGTTCGAATAATTAGCATGAATTCATTTATGAGTGGATATAATTTGCCACGTATGAACATTTCGCGCAATGAAATTTTTAAGTGTTAAGTGAGCAGTCATGTCATTATAATCTAGATGAAGCATAATCGCTTGTGTTAAGTGTTGAGTGAGGGGTCATGTCAAGTACACTATAATCTAGATGAAGCCTACTAGCTTGGCAATCTAAAAACATCCAGATTGAAATAGGTCGAAAAATGAACGTCATCATTTGTTTTAGATTGTATAAAAAACAACACACCAAGAACCAAGAACAAATCTTTTTTTGAAAGTGGGAACAATAAATAACTAACAGTGCTTACGTATAAGTAAGGCTTTAATTGCAATAATTGTAGTGCATTAATTTCAATGCACTAAACCTTCGAGCCAGTTTAAATTACTGGTTACACGTTGGGCGTAAAAGGAACCGAGAAAAAACGCCTGCATTGATTTATCCAAATAAGCCAAATTGGCAGTTTTTAAATCCCTTATTTTTGCGAGACCTTTGCTGGTGACGTTTCTGTTAAATTGCCAACTCATGACAATGATATAGTCAAAATTGTTTAAAAGGTTCATCTAAAACGGTTTTCGAGCCTCAAAATTTGTCTGGATAATAATCCAGACTAAGCCTCTTTGCCTAGTCTTACTGAAGAATAGAATGAGCCAATAAACTGGAAGCAATTTTGATTTCGTCGGAAGTTTAAAGAAAGCTTCTAATTTTGACATCAACTGAAATGATTGAAATTCACCTCCTCCCATACTTAACTGTCCCAAATTTTTTGTTCAAATAAAACGAATTGCTCTAAGACTTCTCAGAAAAAAATGATCTCAAAATTGAGTTTAAGCAAAATAGCCCATTGCTGTGCAATTAGCACAGAATGCTTCAATCATAGTCGGGTTTTTCAGAAAAGACATTCATTAGCTTTACGGGTTTGAAGGTTGAGAGGGCTTATAGTGATCTGAGAAGCGTTAGCAGCGATTTTCATTTCTGTTTGGATCTACTGCTCTGCTCAAAAACGTTTGTCTAATCTAATAAATTAAGAAAAGGTATTCAAAATAATCATAATAAATTGTTTCCAAGTGAAGTCATTACATTAAACAAAATAACAAAAGAAGTCAAAATATCATTTAATTTTAACATTGGAGTTAAAAATTATTGCACCCGTAGAAAAAAAAGTAAGACTAAATAGGCAAATTGAGATTGAGCGGTAGATCTCATGTTTTGTCCTAGTCATGACTAAAATCATTTAACTTTTATTTGATCATAACTCGCTTCTGCTTTTTTGACCTTTGGCACTATTTTCGTCTTCTGCTCATACTTCTATCTGTTCATAATCCTCCTTTTCCTCTCATGAAGTTTTCCTTTGTTTTACAGCAACAAGATTATTTCCGACTTCTCAGTCAGGTATGCGATACAAATTAACCATCCAGTTAATTAACCAATTAAGTAAATAATTACTTAATTAATTGATTAGCTGATCATGAGTTAGTTATACTAACTTTCTAGTCAACAGATCAGATCAGCTAGATCAGATTCACAGCTGTTCAGTCGCAATAGTTTGATCACTTGTATTCACGAAAGGTGATCGTTCGGCTAAACTCGATCAGAAACACTTGGCTTAAAAACAGAATTGATTAAGTATTTCAAAAAATTGAAGTAGTTATTACTCAATTTAGTTTTAAAAATATTTCAAAAAGGCAGTGTTTTTTTTTCAAAATTTAATTATGAAAATATTTTCATAAATTGAAATTTTTGTTAATTTCTGAACTTATTTTTATTAGTATGGCAATCCTAAATTTGAATTGAAATCATTTTTTTTAAAATCAAAATTACAAAAAAAATGTTATTTAGCTTAAATCGATCCAAAATTACCGGGAAAAAGTCAAACGTTTCTTGGAGTTTAGCCGAGGGTTTGAAAATGTAGTTTTGCCTTTGATTCGTCTCTTGAGCTAGAACTGAGCCTGGTGTGCTGCCAATCATTATCAGTTTCAATAAATTAATCATGATGTGGTCACAACTGATTTTATTAGTCATGTTTACCTCCGAGTGAAGATGTGTTTGTGAGTGCTATCGTGAGCTGGAGCCATTGCATAACTCTTGAGTTGAATAATTTATTGCATAATTTGAATGAGTTGTTGCATAATTTGAATGAATTATTGCATAAGGTGAATGGGTTTGATCAGTTGGTTGTTTGGACTTTTTTATATTTGCCTGAAAATAACAGTGTGTGCAAATTAATCATGGTTCTATAATTTATGAACCAATCACAACCAATTTCCCCTAATTTAAGAAAAGTAGTATCATCATCATCATCTTCATCGTCATCGCCATCGTAAGTTTATGACAATCATCAGGTATTTGAGGCCCGGATGGACCAAAAGTTCTGATCATACAATTTCCGTGCTGGAAAAATGCAACTCATAAAATTTTCATACAATCCCATGAATTCAAAAATAGCAAGAAAGGTCTATGATTAGACTCATTCATTTACAGAAACTTATAAGCCTTTTTTGTCTTTTTTTGACAATAGATACACCGACTTCTACTACAAAATAACAAAAAACAGCAAAACAAAACAACCAAAACAACTTTTAGAAAAAAATTTGATTGACCATTTTAAAAAACGTTCGAGCTCTTTTGCGAACAAAAAATCTATTTTACGAGCTCTGATTTAGTTTTAAGCTTCAAGTCTACCCAACTTAACCGATGTTGGCTTCAATAATGGCTGGATTTTAAAGTTAAAACCGAGATGAATTAGAACAAAACCCTATCAATACAATGTTATACGAATTTTTCTGAAGACGTCTTACTTGAATTAGAGTTTGCGATATAAGTTTTACACGAACAAGATAGCAGAGAAGATTAGAACTGACCTAGTAAACAATAACTACAAAATCATAGCTTTCCCGATAAAAATATCGCCTGTTTAACATCCAAGACATGTTTTGTATTGAAAGATTTGACTCTCAACTAGGGGTCCAGTAATAAATTCATTGACTCTGTGCCTGCGAATATAGCTTCGATTTATGAACTACCCACAACCAAATTCGTCAGATTGTTTTTAGGCTCTTTCTCATAAGCATCATTTTTATCGTTCAACGAGGGGTTTTACAAGGTTGTTTCTCATAGCCTAATTAGTCCTTATGCCAACTTTTAGTCAGGAGTGCGGTCTCTATTTAGACAACTGCGTACTCATACTTGTCAGTAAGCAGACGAATAATGTATTAACCAATCAGAATTGAGATGAGAAAGCAATCTTACGATTAATTAATTTTTCATTGTCTCGATTCTAATACAGTGCTGATTTAAATCAACCGGACAAAACGCGTTAAACTTGAAATTTAAAACGGATTTTTCTCAAATTGGGTTGAGTTTAGGAGAAAACTTATGAAGAAAAAACTTGCTTAAAATTTTAGCAGAACTAATATGGTGTAATTTTTAGCGAAAGTCGGGCCAAAAAATTTACCCCAAAAATGGGTCATTTTGGCTCTTGTTAGTTAATCAAAAATTACGCCAAAAATACTCAGTCGATCACAGCCATAACTATATCAAAGTGAGCAACTTACGTAGCCCAACAAACTTTAAGAAGGGCATATTCTCCAAAACATTGTATAAGTTAATTTATTTTATAAGTTAATTTATTTGTATAAGTTAGTTTGATAGACAAAAAAATTCGTTTTTACTATATAAAATACCAACTATTTATTTAAAAACAATTTTTAAACAATTTGCAATTTTTTTTGGAGAATATACCCTTCTTAAAGTTTGTTGGACTACGTAAGTTGCTCACTTTGATATAGTTATGGCTGTGATCGACTGAGTATTTTTGGCGTAATTTTTGATTAATTCTGCTAAAATTTTAAGCAAGTTTTGTCTTCATAAGTTTTCTCCTAAATTCAACCCAATTTGAGAAAAATGCGTTTTAAATTTCAAGTTTAACGCGTTTTGTCCGGTTAATTTAAATCAGCGCTGTAGTTTAAAACAGCATTTGTCTGCTTACTGACGAATATTAATACGCGGTTGACTAAATACTGCTACCATATGATTTTAGTCCATATGTCTCTATAACAATAAGAATATCCGAACATAGAAATTACTAGTGAAAATTTGCATGTGGGGAGGCAAAAAGAGCCGTTTTTTAGGTGTCGTGCATAAAAAAACATCTGACCAAAAAACTTGAGCGGAAAAGTGAAGTATGTTTCAAAAACTGAGTTCAGGACAAATATACTTTTTGGAAAATAGAAAAAATTTCCGTTATCGATAGTTCAAAAGATAAAATTCGTCTGGAGGAAAAAATCACCCAAGCGCAAACATCCCGGTTTGACAAAAAATGCTTATCATACATTTTTCATATATGAAAAAAAATGCTTGTCATACTTTTTCATACAATTTCATAGAGTAAAAGTGTATGTATGAAAATAGCAAATAAGCATTTTTTTTCCATACTATGAAATTGTATGATAAGCTTTTTTTCCATAAATGAAAATTCAAATAATTTTTATTTCGAAATTTTGTGTTTCATACAAAAAAGGACCCATGACAAAAAAGCATTTTTTTGTCATGAGAACACCCAGAATGTAACTGGCAGATACCACGCAGATAAACTGCAGTTGGTGGTTTTAGCCATAAAAGTTAAATTTAACATTTTCACATGGAAATATATACCAAAAAAGTAACTTTTTGAATATGGCTAGATAATTTTTAGATTGAAAATTATGATGGCTGAGAAAAAAGGCCTGTTTTCTTTACAAATTTTTTTTATCTTAGCAAATGAAACAAAAGATAATAATCGTGTTTTCAAAAAAAAACATTTTCATGTAATTTTTGGGTTTTTTGGGCGAGAAACTCATCATGGACTACGTTATAAACACAAAAATGTCAAATTTTGCATGCAAAGTTTTTTTTTAAATTTGTATTTTAGCACAAATCCAAATTTGCAGCCAAAAAAGGGATTAAAATCTTTTTACGTCAAAGCTTTATTTTTGTTTATGAAAAAAAGGCATGTCATACAATTTTCATAAATGAAAATTTTATGATAAGCATTTTTCTGACCGAAATTAAATTTATGATTTTGATTATCAATTTGCCCTCTTTCATAGATATAATTATTTAAATCTATTTAAAGTTACCCAGACACGTCTTTTTTTGCTGATTTTTGAAAGTTTTATTTTTTCTATGACGAAATGACTATTTTATAATTTTCATACATGATAATTGTATGATAAGCATTTTTTCCATAGACTTCATATATGAAACTATATAATAAGCATTTTTCTTCTATGGACGTCAACCCGGGATGCCTTAACTTTTCGAAATTCCAGGCAAAAAAGACAATAATTTATTCCACTTATTTCTCTTTGCTTTGAAAATTTGACGTCAACTTAAAGGGAAGAAAGCTTTTTTTTCCATATTTTTCAAGCTAATCTGTTTAAGTTCCATTTTTTGTTAAAATTTCGAAAAAGAACTCGTATAAGTAATTCTCTTAGCCCCCCCATTCCCCTAATTCCTCTAAAATTGACATAAATTGAGACCACAAAACAGCACAGCAACATCAACCGCTTATTTTAACCTTGGGATATCTGATCTGAAAGTAAACTATATTCAGCATGTACTATATGCGCAACTTCAGCTTCCAGAATTTTCAGTTCTCTTAGCCCTTTTACTACTTGACTGTTTGCTAGTAACTTATTATCCTCCAGTCTTATAAAGCCTTTTTGTTCGCTCTGAATTGGTCAATTTTGAAGGATCACGACATCAAATGAATCGAAATGAGACTTGCAAATAATTAAACTTTTTTAAAAGTTTACGTTAGGGCGACTTGTAACAGGCATCGTTATTTGAGATCCTTTATAATTTGTTTCGTATACGTGTTATAGTTTCTTACTAAGAGTAGTTCTTGGTATCATCAGCAACGGAATCATCTTTCTTGGCCAAGTTGTAAAGAATATTGTTCTTGTTTGCCTTTTTAAAAAAAAAAATTCAGAACGATAATCATCTTATTGAACGATTCATTAAGGCTTTCAAATATTAATTTAGCTCATATTTTGATTGACTGGAGTAAAAAATTTGATTGACTAGATGTTAATTTGAGGATTGTGCTCTAGCATTTTGACGCTTCTTACAATTTGCAATCTCAGTTTGCTTTAAATTAATTGCTCATTTCGTATTTCAATCTTAAAATTAGACATCTGAGCTTTTCGATTTGGTTCATTTTTTATTTCGCAATTGTAGCCTTAGCTGTGAGGAAAGAAAATCAGATGAATGACTCATTATATACCCAAGTTTTTTGAGATTTAGGATTTTAAGTTGACTCTCTAGATTGTAATTTAACATCTCTTAGTTCAGATCAGAATTACTTCAGATTGTAGCAGAAAGTAGTGAAAAAAGCAAAAACAACAAGGATGTCGAACAGAAGATCGTGAAAAGTCTAAACCACCACTAACTAATTTGACATCGGTTTCAGACATAAATTACAGCTAAAGGTTTATTTGAAATGAAAATCAATAGACCAACAAAGTTTAAGCAAAAACGAATGTTTCTGTACAGGGTGAGGGCGGGGACGACCCTCTCACCACCCAAAGGGTCCCCATTTGGTGCTATTTTACGATATCCATTTTTTAGTCGACCGACACTCAAAAATTTTGAAGGCGCCTTTGGCACCAATTTATACTAACTTTGAGGGGGTGCGCGCGCAAAAACTGCTAACTTTTAGTGGGGGAGGCGCGCCTAAAAAACGGTTAACACCTTCCAAAAAGGGTAAAAAATGGTTTTTTTGCCTCTTTTAGAAATAAAAATTATGGCAGACAATATTTGACTTTTTTTGGAAACTGCCCGCTCAAAAAATACCAAATCCGGCCACGAGTTCTGTATCCGATAAACATTTTAAAATATTTTTTTCCGCAAAATTCGCAAAAATTGCTCATTAAAACTGATTAATTGTTCGACTGTTTGCTGTTTTCATTACTTGGATGGAAGTACTATTAAACGTGCTCTTCATGCTTTTTTTCCTTTCTAATGAGTGTTGTGTAATATTAATTGCTGTCTGTTCGCAGGTCACGGAGACGTTTTTGTTCAACAGGAAAACCATTTCACTGTCTGTCTACGTCGATAAAGACTTGGTAAGTTGGCTCTTATTCCAGCTGACTCATTAAAAAATAACTACATGACACCACCCCCCCCCCCCACTCCCATTAACCAACATCCTCCCCAATTTTGAAGATTTTATTTAAAAAAATTTTACCCGAAAAACATTCTATTTTGTTTTTATTAGACCCCTTACATTTGCTTCTATGTTTTTTTTTGCAATACCAGAAACCTGCTCTGTACATAACTGCGAGCTTCAATAAGGTTGCGGAGAAGTTTTTTTGTATCCCCGAAAGACTGAATGCACTCACAAAAAGTGTCGACCATAAGGATAGTCTTCCCCGTGTGTTCTTTCTTTTCAGATTTTCTATCTGATTGTCTAAATTAAATTTAGTCTATATGACACGCGGGACTTCCTCTCATTAATTACTAACAATTTCACCTCGGACGAGCAAATCTGAAGGACGCAAGTTAACACCGTCAAGTATAATATGAAGATATCATTCAAGCAGAAAACTCTAATTTGTTAAGTCGAGCAGAACTGCTAACATTAATTTGCAAACTGACCGAACAGTTTTTTGTCCTTAATCTTTGCAAATTGAAAAAAGAAACACAGCTGAGTTAACGAGTTACTTGACCTGTAACAACCAGCAGCTTTTTTTCTAGTATTATTCCCTATTCATAATTACTAACTTTTTTCATATTAGTTTCATATTTTTCGTATTCTCGTATTCTCATATTTCTCATTTTTGGTTCTTCAATCTCAAAATTTTTCTTAAACCGTTTTTGGCTTTTGGCGCCATCATGAATTAAATTTGAGAGGGGAGATTTTTCGGTCAAAACCTTCAAATAGTTCTCAAACCACCCCCATTAGCTCGTTTCCAACCCCCACCCCCAATATTTCAAATTTTCCATTTTCTGAGCTGTCTTTTGTGTTATTTTGGCTGAATGCGAAATGTTAAGATGATAGATATGAAGACCAAATCTGTTCAAAATAATCAGTTCGTTCACCATGCAAAGTTTCATCACATTATGACAACGTAAATTAGAAATCAAAACTGAAATTTGAAGTGGGGGTGGGGGGGGGGGGGTGAGTGGAAAGAGCCGAAAGCTTCTTGCGCACGCCTGTGTCATTTCTACTGAAATATATATTTTTTCTACATATTTTTGATAGTTGTGTCATATTTACTGAAAATTAAGTCATGAAGTTACTAGGTTATATTTTCTAATTATCATGTCAGTTTTTAATTTTTTTTCAGGCGAGTGACTTCAGAACTGAAAGTGACCTGAAAAAGTACCTGTTTGCCCTCATCAATATAGTGGACGGGGTAAGTGTACTAAATTTAAAATGGACTTTTTATTGACCCCAACAGGTAGTTTTATGCTCCAAATTGGGCCATAAAGTATTGTCCGCACACGGATGCAAAAATGTTCATGGTGCATACATAACATAGTTGTTTATTGTGAAATATTGAAATTAGCATAAAAATGATATTTCTTTTGGATCAGGTCGCAAAATATGAACAACTTTGTGCAACTTACTTTTTTATATTTTCAGATGCTTTTCTAAAAACAAAATATTTGCAACCTTAATAGAATATTCAGCTCATTTTTAGTTCCCCCTTTCTTTTTGTCCGAAATTCAATTTATGAAGGACCATTTAAAAAGAAATTTGATGTTCTTAATTGCAATAAAACTGCAAACAAAAAAGAGCCGAAATTTTTGTACTGTATCATAGAGATTTCATGGAATTATTTATAAGGTCGAGTAGTTCAAAGATGAAAATTTGACATTAAAATTGGAAAATTCTTCGAAAAGTTTGTGCATTTAAAAATCCTTTATTTTTTTCTATAATAAAACAAAACATGACCATTCAAGTTCAATCTCAAAATTAGACAAGACTGCTCGTATCAGGGCAAAACCCTGAATGTTCCGACTGACTTTGGAGGTCTATGGGGCAGTAATAACATGAAAAAAAATGTATAAAAATTTGTAAAAAATTATCCCCCCACACGCCATATAAAGTACAAAGTGATAGATTTCGCTCCTAGTAACAAATCAATTCCGACAAACATCCTGTTTCAATCAATTTGGAACAATTTCTAAGACGGATTAAATCTCCGTTTAAGCGTTAATAGCGCAAGAAGTATCGCACAATAATTGTCCCAAATTGCCCGAAATGGCAATCTTTAAACATCCATAACTTTAAGAAAAAGTATCACAGGCAAAATATCTTTTCAAATTTAAGCTCAGCAGAACAATACATTTTGAATGGTATCAAAAAAATTCCGTAAAAACTGGCTAGATAAAAAGTCGAAGTTTCTCTGAAGAAAAAAAAACACACCCCGGGCACAAATATTCCGTACTTTAGTTACGAAAGTCGAAACAATAATCAGACTATAATGTTGAAAGATTACAGTCGTACATATATATTGTTATTTAGATAACCAAGTGATATTCAATTAACCCATTGTTCTTTTAGATAGTTTTCTACATAATTTCAGAAAACTATTTAATTATTCAGCTTAAATTCTCTCCCAAAACAATTACTTACGAAAAATTTTCAAAAATTCTTCCAAAGAGTTCTATTTAGATTGCCCAAAAATAAAAAAACCTGAATTTGATCAAATTTTCCGTTCAAAATATTGGAACCAATAGAAAACTAGTTTTTTTTCTGATTCTCTTAACAAAAGTAACTGAATATTTGTGCTCGGGGTGGTTTTTTTTCTTCGGACAAATTTCGACTTTTTAACTAGCCATTTTCGACGGAATTTTTAAAATTCATTCAGCAAGTATTGTTGTCCTGAGCTTAAATTAAAAAAAATATATTTCACCTGTGATCATTTTTTGTAAAGTTAAGGGGTTTCAAAATAGCTTTTTTGGCTAACTTGGGACAATTAACACGCGATGTATTTCGCGCTATTAACGCGTAAGCGGAGATTTAAACCGTCATTGAATTCGTTCCAAATTGATTGAAGGAAGTTCATTTGAAATAACTGAATTGTAGCCAGGAGCGAAGTTGATCACTTAGTTCTTTATATGGCGTTCTGAACTATCAAGGCTTAGACATGATTCGAGGAGTCTTCTTTTATTATAATTTTTTTTCCCTGTAAATTTTCATTACTAACCAATCATGACCCATGACTAAGTCACTCAATTCTTGAAATCCTGAAACTCTAGTGGTTCAGAAAAATAATAAAAAACTAAGATTGAAATAAGCTACTTTCCTCTCTCCTCTAAATTCGCAATAAACCAGTATGTCTCTAGATCTATTGAGACTAGGAAATATAAGAGCAAGATTAGGATTGGTTTTGGGCTAAGGAGTTGCACGAACATATCCGACCGAAAATAGATAGCGTGACAAACAGACGGTGTACCCTATCCAAAGTTACTCTATGGACAAGGCTACCCATTGTTTTTTTGTCAATCCGGAAATAGATTATGATGAATTTTATTTTTATTATCATTATTATGATTATTAAGATAATAAGATTGTTATGATTATTATTGTTCTCGCTAAAATTCATAGCGAAAAACCAAAGTCGTTACAAATGAATTTTCTGTTGAACGAAGAACAGTGTGTGAAAAAAGTCAAAAAACTAAATTATCGAAACAAAATTCACAAGTTTTTCAGGCGCTGTTTTAAAATTGGTTTATTACTATTTTAATTTTTGCTTGTTTTATGTCATTGCATTTGCCGGCTTTTAAAAACCAAGTTTATGGCAGTTCGTTATTCTTTGTTGTCTTGTAATTTCCAATAATTTTGGTTAATTTACGTATGAAATGAAATGTTATCAATGAGACAGCTACCCGAAACCGATCTACCTCAGAACCGAAACGAGGCAGAAATAATAGTTATTTTTATGATGATTATTATGGTTATTATAAATTGTTTAACATCGCCAATTTTTTTTCTAGATCTTCTTCAAAGACCTCTACCGCACTCACGTGGTGTTGAATGAGGTGAAAGTGTGGTCGGCAGTGAACTTGGTTGATCTGAGTGCAGATGTGGAGAAGAACCTGAGGAACTTCCTGATGCACCTGGAGACACTACCCCAAATGCCCCCCTCCACTGTCACTCTGCTGCTCACGTGAGAACCGCCATAGACTCAGATGATCTTTTTACCCTGTCTTCTTCTTAAAGCTTCCCCTCCCCCCTTACCTAGTAAATAACAAAAAATTGTTTCGACCTTTTTACCGTGTCTTCTCAAAAAAACTAATGGAAGTGTTGATGACTTTTCAGTTTTTTTCGGCGGATTAAGAACAGGGGCGGATCTAGGATTTTCTCAAGGGGGGGGGGGCGGATTTTCAAAAAATTTTTTAAAATTTTGACGACTTTTTTTTTTTTTTTTTAGGTCGACCAAATTCATTTTTCGAGCTCTCCCAAAGCACTGTTTTTAGAAAAATTTTAGGGTCGGTCGGCCAAAAATGGATTTCTGAAAAAGTATCAAAGGGGGGACCCTTTGGGTCGGCAGGGGGTCGAATCCCTGAGGGGGGGGGGGCGTCCGCCCCCCCTTCGCATCCCCTAAATCCGCCCCTGATTAAGAAGATGTTTTTATTTTGAGTTAATCCTTACTTGTTTCTTAAAAATTTTAGGAAAATGAAATTGGAAAAAGAACAAGGACAAAAATGCTATGATAAAATAATTGAAAAAAATATATTTTTATGAATGTATCTCTGTCTCACACATCACAAATTTGATCGAAAATTGTGCTAACTACAATAGTTGCCGTAAAAAACATACAAAAGTTGCACAAAAAAAATACAGACGATAACCATAATAACTGCACAAAAAATATGCCTTCAAATATGCACCTCTCAAAACCAAGGAAGAGTGTTAAATAATTTTTGATATTTCGAGTGGCATTACACGTTGCTTTCAGACGAATCTTGAAAAAAAAACACATTGCTGTTTGACAACAGCATATTATTAAATTTTGCACAAAATGGTGCAAATTTGCAAAAAAAATTTTATTTTGACTCCAATCAATTGGAAACGAAAGTCTATCTGAGAAGTTGAGAGGCAAAATTCATTCAATTTTTCATCCCAAAATAGAATCGTCCCAATCAATCGTTCTAAATCAATCAGATTTATTTACATATGCTAGTAATGTATTGATAAAAATTGTCTTTTAAACAAAAATGATTGTTTATTTGGCATAGCTTTAGAATTACTTTGGCGAAAATTTTATATCAGCAAGTAAAAGTCAAGTTTTTTGACTTCTTTTTAGCATTAGAGTTCTGCATTTTGAAGAAAGTGACCAAAAAATTGTGCTCGAAGGGTTTTTTCTCTAGCATATTTCGACTTTTTCACCAGAGGTTTTTGGCTGTTTTTCATTATATCGTTTGAAACATTTTCTTGTTCTGAGCACAAATATAAAGAAGGTACTTCACCTGTGATAATTTTTTGCAAAAAAACTGTGATATAAATATTGAAAAATGTTTCCATTTTAACCCGTATTAGAAATCGGTCAGAATTGAAAAGAGGCATTTATTTAGTCTTGTTACTAACTTGCTGCTTACAAAATATATCATTTTGTTCTTAAAATAATGTGTGGAGAGATATAATTCATTTTCAAATTTCTCAAGAAAACATTTTTTGAAAACTTCATCAGTGTTTTTGAAGAGATCACTAGCTCATAGAACTTAAAAGGCATTTGAAAGATTCACGGTTTTGCCCTAATACGAGCAGTTTTGTTTAAACTATCATTCAGTTGGATTCCGAAAGGAGATGACAGTGATGCTAAGCCGCCTTAAAGACAAGGAGAATAGCTCATTGATTAATTTTCAAAAAAGGCACAAAAAATTTATTCGAGTTAATTCAACCACTAGATGTCATTTAATATAAAAAGTTATATATCCACTCAGTTCAACTTTTCATACATTCTTACTTAGACTGCATTTGTCACAAGTTTTCAAATAAATATTTCATCTAATCAACGTTGAATGAAGACAAAAAAGTGCTCTTAACATGGTAATTTTTTTTTTTTTTCGGTTTCTAATGGTCCTTTATACGGAGTTTCTTTCTACAAATGTTTTTTAAAGATTCACACATTGTTAATATTTTCAAAAAAAAGTATTTACAAACTGTTTTTCTGTTTTCTTTGAAAAAGTTTTTCCCACTCTTGGAAAAAACTGATTATCTACCAAAAAACTGCCTCCT